TTTACCCCCCCCCCCCCCCCCCCCCCCCAAAAAAAAATCAAATGAAATCTTGCAAACTGACAGTAGCATTTTTCAACTAAAAATGTAAAAGTAAATGCATTTTAGCATTCCTTTTAGGTTTCCTCGTGAAAACTTACTTAGCTTCAAACTGCAGAATGCCATAGTTTTCAAGACATACGCTACACTATCACGAGCAGTTGACACGAATGTTCAGGCTGGTGACCCTCCATCATACACAGGGGTTACTCTAGGAGGAATTGGAGCCGGGGTAATACAAAGTGTAATTATCAGTCCCATTGAGCTAGTGAAAATCCGTCTTCAGCTGCATAGTAATAATGCACATGATAAAACTAAACAATCAGGCAATTACAAGGGTCCAGCAGGTATTGCTAGAAGCATAATTAGAACAGAAGGTTGGAGAGGAATTTACCGAGGTTTCACCATCACTGTGCTAAGGGATGGACCATCCCATGGTGTCTACTTCTGGACGTATGAGTATATGAGAGAGAAACTTCACCAAGGATGCAGGAAAACCGGCCAGGAGAGTTTCAGAACAATGCTCACTGCAGGAGGTCTTGCCGGCGTAGCTAGCTGGATTTGTTGCTATCCTTTAGATGTAATTAAAACCAGAATTCAGGCTCAATCAAATTCCTCCCAAGGAAAATCCATGGGCATTGGTGAATGCTTCAAGAGGAGCATAAAAGACTCTAGCATTCTCTGGCGAGGTTTGGGAACTACAGTTGCCAGAGCCTTCATTGTGAATGGGGTGACCTTTACTGCGTATGAAACAGCACTGAGGTGCCTAGTTAACGACAATAGCTCATGAAGCAATACAGAGTACCCTGGTACTTGAAGTAAACCATCTTGGCATTAAGAATTGACCATCTATGGAAATTTATTGAAGCAAACAATTCATTGGAGAAATATGAAATTTCATTGACAACCAAGAAGAAATCAAGCCATAGAGGAGCACTAGGAGGCAAGTGAGGGAAATTTCTCCACACTAATGAAAATGTTTTTCAAGCTAAAGACTGAAGCAATTTATAATCCAAATACACGAACTGTGTACATTTTATCAGAGAAGTTTTAAGTTTGCAGCTACCATAAACATGTCATATGCAAACCACCATGAAAATGAATGGAAGGAATTGATTTGTACAAAATTGTAATAGCTATCATTATAAATATGGAGTAAGACAGAGGAATAATAACATACATTTTCTCGTATTTTCCCTTTTTCCTTTCCCTTGCATGCCTTGACCAGTATGCCACCACACCTTAAACCTCATAAAATTATAAGAAAAATGCAATGACAAAATGATAACCACAACTAAATGGAGAATAGCAGAAGGATTTAAAAATTTGACAAAGATCACAATTCATCAACAAATTTATTTTATATGAAAGTAAACCATTGTGCTTTCGCATCTAAGCAATAGCAATGCTAGGCATGTATGAACATCAGTTCATTTTTATTCAATGGTAAATGCAAAGACAACAATTAAGAAGAGTAACCTCTAACTGTAACATTCCACTAAATCATCATTCCTACACACTCCAAAACAGAATGATGAAGAGATTCAATGCAGCTCCCATCAATCATTCAGTAAGTACTTGCAGCACCAAACGGCTCGACCCTATTCTCAGAAAGATTCAACCCAACCATTGCATCCTCTAAACCACTGCTCACCTGCGCCAGCTCCACAGGATCATTATAACTCCTAACAGCCTGGACAATAGCCCGAACCCTCTTGTAAGGATCGGCAGAACTGAGAACTTCTGGTCCCAAAAACACTCCATCACATCCCAATTGCATCATCAGTGCAGCATCAGCAGGAGTCACTATACCTCCAGCAGCAAAATGAACCACCGGCAGCCTCCCCATTTGTTTCGTCTGTGCCACAATATCATAAGGCGCTTTAATCTGCTTAGACAACCCAAACACTTCATCCTCGTCCATGTTATTCAAACGTCTAATCTCACCCATCACTTTCCTCACACTACGAACAGTCTCCATTACATTCCCAGACCCCATCAAGTCACCTTGAGTGCGTATCATCGCAGCCCCTTCTCTCACTCTCCTTAAAGCCTCTCCCAGATCGCGACACCCACAAATAAATGGCGTCCTAAAATTATGCTTATTAATAAAATGATCCTCATCAGCGATGGCTAAAACCTCGCTTTCATCAATATAATCAACTCCTACTGACTCCAAAATCTGAGCCTCCACAAAATGCCCAACCCGGGCTTTCGCTATTAAGGGAATTGAGATGGATTGCTTAATTTCTTTAATCAGGCCCGGATCAGGCATGCGGGAAATTCCTTCTCTGGGTGGATCCGATACAGTTACACAGCAAGCGCCGGCGGACTCTGCGATCTTGGCTTGTTCCACGGTAGTGACTTCGACAATAGCACCACCCCGTAGCATCTGGGCGATCCCGACTTTGATCGGAAATGGGTTCTTCTTGGCATTAGTGATGGCAGCGTTGCTTCCATAGACCGTTACAGCATTGCCCTCGGCCATTGCGAAAGTGTTCGTAATTAGGCTTCGCTTGAGAAAATGCAAATTTGCTCGAGTTATATGAGAATAATATGGATATAAGAGGCGGTGGAGTCAGGGAGGTTCACGAAGTTTCGCGGAGCCGAGGGCGGTTAGGCTTGGTGGTGGCAACTGGCAAGTGTCGAAGGTTCTGTTGATTCCAAGGAATAATGCCTTCTTTTTTGGGAAATCAATTGAACTATCAACACTGCACAAGTCACCTCCAGAATAATTCTCAGCTTTCTCAACACGAAATTGTTTATTCTCCCTTTGAAGTATCTTATGAATACCATATGATGATCTCGGAAATTGGACTCTTCACGTAGTCAATCGATAGTTACTCCACGTATTTCTCTATGTACACAATCAGCACACAGTCAGATGCACACGGTCGGAACCAGCGGGGGTGGCGGCGGCCATATACACTCCGACAATCAAATTATGTTCAAGGAATCGGAACAGTACTCAAGGTTGTGCAAAATAGTGGGGAGGAGAATATACATATTTGCTTGCTATGGAGTGCTAAGTAGTAAGAGTTTCATTACCTTTACCTCTTGTCAAGCCTGGGGTATTTATAGATGAGGAGAACTGTTGGATGTGGGACACGTGTATACATCTGACGGTATGAGACATCTGCTCATAGGCGTCAATCAGCCGCGTCTATAGAGTGGGCGGATAATTACTTCTCCCGAATTGAGTTGACATAAAGTTGATACATCATATCAACAAGTCTCATGAAGACGTCAAATCACTTTAAACCTTAGGGGCAGAAAAGATCTTGACAAAGATCCCATTCTGAAATTGGCGGCGGATCCTCTGACAGAGGTCCCCAAAGTGCATTTCGCCTTGGATTTAGGGGCGAGGGCGCTTTGGTCAATCCCGCAGAATTGCCTATGCCTCGTAGTGTGATAGTAGATCGTCACCATTGGTAAAGTCACTTCGGAACCACTTCAGATGAGTGTTCCACACCTCGCATGATGTGGTGGTGGACTTTTCGAAGTAATTCAGATAGCGGCGTAACAGTGGTCCCCTAAGTCTAGGTATGAATATTTACATCATGGTGAACTTGTCTTCCCGATCGGATATATATGCCTCGGGATGGGGACCGTGATTTGTGAGAACTTGAGGGTCGATCTTCTGTGTTCGTCGAAGCGTTGATCCTAGGCAGATGCGCTAAAGCTTCGCTACTGCGTGAGGGAAAAATTTATGTGAGATTGAGGTGCTGCCCAACTGGACGATGCGTAGGGAGACGGTCAACGCAGTGACCAAGGCGATGACCACAGGGGACTCCGCGTCAGGTGCGTCTAACATTTGCAAAGCTGAGTGAGGAGCTCATGTGCACCGGTGCGTTGACCCACAGGGGACGACGCGTTGGGAGATGGCTAAAACTTTGTAAAGCTTAGGAGGGAACACAGGGATCGAGGCGATGACCCACAGGGGACTCTACGCCAGGTACGTCTAAACTTTGTAAAGTTGAGTGAGGAGCTCATCTGCCACCGGTGCGCTGACCCACAGGGGACGACGCGTTGGGAGATGGCTAAAACTTTGTAAAGCTTAAGAGAGAACGCATCGACCGAGACGATGACCCATAGGGGATTCCGCATCAAGTGCGTCTAAACTTTGTAAAGTTGAGTGAGGAGCTCATCTGCCACCGGTGCGCTGACCCACAGGGGACGACGCGTTGGGAGATGGCTAAAACTTTGTAAAGCTTAAGAGAGAACGCATCGACCGAGACGATGACCCATAGGGGATTCCGCATCAAGTGCGTCTAAACTTTGTAAAGTTGAGTGAGGAGCTCATCTACCACCGGTGCGCTAACCCACAGCAGACGACGCTTTGGGAGATGGCTAAAACTTTGTAAAGTTTAGGAGGGAACGCAGCGATCGAGGCGATGACCCACAGGAGACTCCGCGTCAGGTATGTCTAAATTTTGTAAAGTTGAGTGAGGAGCTCATCTGCCACCGGTGCGCTGACCCACAGGGGACAACGTGTTGGGAGATAGCTAAAACTTTGTAAAGTTTAGGAGGGAACGCAGCGACCAAGGCGATGACCCACAGGGGATTCCGCGTCAGGTGCGTCTAAGCTTTGTAAAGTTGAGTGAGGAGCTCGATCCGAAGCGGGCGTATCTGACGTTAAATGATTTGACAGCTATTGCGTATTTCCAAGGTGACAGTTGGGTGCAACCCCCATTCCCCTAAAAGGCTGCTATGGCTACTTATTGTTGACGGCTGGTGGTGACCGAGGCGATGCGTTTTATGCGAGCGTGAGGGTCACAGCAAAATCTTAGGCGTAGATCAAATCTGGCGTTTCATCTCAATGGCCCAGATTGATGATACGACGGACGGCCTAGATTGATTGCATTTGAATTCAACGATGGAGATTAGTTGGAGCGCTATATAAAAAGCGGACTTGAGCGTTTTTGGAGCTTTCCATTCTTGCGAAAATAGAAAATCCCATTTGCTCTCAAACTCTTTGCAATTTCCGGGATTCTTCAGCATTTCTGGCGACCGCACACTGCTTTTTGACCATTTCCAGCCGGGGAACACTCAAACTCGTAAGTTTCAGTAAATATTTGAGACATTTCCTTTTTGAAAATGGCTTCTGAGGGTAGTGCTAATTCGGGGAGGGGGCTGGAGTTAATGCGGATGGATGAGCCCATTGTGGCGATCTCCTCTGAAGTAGCCGAAGCGATGCTTGGGGGGAGAACATTTGGAAGAGGCCGGATAGCCCAGCAGATACCTCTGTACATTGGGGGCGTCAGATTATCCCTCCAAGCTAAAGGGGACCGAACTAGAAAGACTTAGGACTGAATATAGGATCCCACATAGTATAGACCTGATCTTACTCGAACCTGACGAGAGGGCCTGCTACCCTAGGCCAGGGTGCGTGGCGATAAGCGAGGCGATCCTTAGGGCCGGTCTTAGGCTTCCAATTTACCCTTTTTTGGGATGGTACTTAGGTCTTATGGCTTAGCACCGACCTTACTGAACCCAAACTCTTGGAGCCAAATGGTGGGCTCCTGGATGTTATAAAAAGAGGCGTCACTTGGGGTGGAGATGCCCTTCTCTGTTTTTCAGACCCTCTACATTCCCAAAGTAACATCCGGGGGGATAAGACCAGGTGCTAGTATTACCTGACCTCTTGGGGTTTCCACACTTCTTTCGTGCTCGATTTGCCGAGCTCCATCAAGGAATGGAAGAGTTCGTGGTGCTGGACTGCCGGGAAATGGGACACGATGGAGGGGAACCCCCTGGCACCTCTTACGGTCCCCACGAAGTACTCGTCACTTAGTGAGTATTGTAGCTATGTTTCTTGTTTATTTCTCATTGGTTCGGATCATAACTAACATTTGTGTTCATTTTTTAAAGGCACTCTTCCTTGGTGCGACATGTCCTCTCACGACTTCGACATCATCTGCGTCATATATCAGCTGCCTTCGAAGAAGAGGTCGTACCACCGATTGATCAGAAAGAACATTCATTTAGTGACGCACGACCTGATGGCCTCACAAGGTAATATCTCGAAGCAAATACCTTTCAGTACTTCCGAGTCGTTTACACTTGTACTAATTTACTTGTTTATTGCAGATAACTTTAATAAGAAGATGCCTCTCCGGACCGACTTCAAGACCATACAAAGGATGATAGCCAAAGCGAGGGCCTTGAAGACCTCATCCTCGGCCTATAAGAAGCAGATGAAGGACTTGGTGGACGCCAGCAAGAGGCTCCAGCCTCCGATGGAGGAGGAGGTGCCTGAGGATCCGAGGCCAATCTGCTTCGAAAGGGCAAAAAGCCTGCTGCACCTTCGAAGCTACCAACGGTGGCAAGGCCACCCCCTGTTCTGAGGCAAACTACAATTCCTACCGGGGTGGTCATTCCGAAGAAAATGCCTACGCCATCAGAGGCTTTTCCTACCCCGGCCACACTACCAGTTACTGTCGTGCCTCTCGCCCAGGTGCCGAGGCAGCCCAAGAGAAAAAGAGCCCGTCTCTCAAAGGAGGTGGACTTCTTGGGCACGAAATTCGAGGAGCCAGTAAAAGAAGTACTGGAGGCTCTCCCCCCAGAAACGGCTACAGTGGTGGTGGTCTACAATAAGTACTGGACCGAAGAATGGAGGGACCACACCGCCTCCTGCACTGTCGAGGACTTAGTGGCGGCCAATAGTGCCTGTGTGGCTCGGGCTCTGAGCACCAGCATCCAGTTTGAAGGCTTGGTGAAAGACCTCAATGCCAAGAGGGAGGACCTCGCCAAGCGCCTCGAGGAGACGATGTAATACGGGGATCGGTGAGGGAGGCTCGGGCCAGGGCCGTGGAGGAAGAGAAAGGAAGAAGGGAGGCTGAGGCCCAGCTGGCAGCTACCAAAGAAGATATAGAGTGGCTGAAGAAGGAGCTCTATGAAGTGGAGTGCCAGGTGGCTGCTATGAATCGAAGAGTGGATCACACCAATGAGCACCACCGACTCGCCACGAAGGCTCTGGAGGCCTCCAATAAAGAAAAAGCGGAGCTGAGGCAGAGGGCGAAAGCCCGATCTGAGGAAATTGCCTCCTTGAAGGAGGAACTGAAGTCGACAGGGGAAGTAGCTGTTCAAAATTTCATTGACCACTTCAAGGAGCATCCCCTGTACGACGACTTTGTAATTTTTGGACCTCTTGGAGTGCCCAAGGCTTATCGGGTCGGCTGAAAAAGGTCCACTCCACTCTGGACATCTCCGATTTAGAGGTAAAGTTCGGGGGACCTACTGGAGGCTGGCCTAATAAGCTTGCTGAGGACGCTCTCCAGAGGCCCTCGAGGCGGGCGAGGCAGAGGCTGGCGGGGAAGGCCCTCCTGTAGAATAGGGCTAATCTTGTAATGGTTTCAGCTTCTTTTGTAACTCAATTTCAAGTGAATGAAATGAAATTTTTGCTAAGTATTGTTGCTTCTATTTTCTTATCGTGTTGATCTGTTTACACATATATGAATGACAAGCACTTAAGATTAAGCGCCTCTTAACAATAATCAGAAGATCGGATCACTTAAGTAAACATCAAGCGCCTCTTAACAATAACCAATTAATGATAGAAGATCGGATCACTTAAGTAAACATATTGAAGGACAGAGGTAACAATTTACTAACCGATGTGACAAAGAACTGAAGTATCATTACCTAGAGAAGTTACATTACCCTTTACTAAGGCATTTTCAGCACTCAGTAAGCTAGGAAAATTACAAACGAGATCGGATCAGGACATACATTTATTAGACAACATTGAGATCG